TTTTAAAAAAATAACTAAATATTTAAACTCTAAACTCTAATAGCTTATTATCTAATGATTCTCAATAACCCAATTCTGAAAGGTTTACATTTCTTTTAGTTATTAAGCATTAAACTATCTTTACACCTTTTCACCTTTTATGGCATATTAAAAGTAATAAATTATTACATTCGCTACTCATCTACTACAAACGATGTTTTTTTTTTACAACTAACATAATTATAAAACTAATTAATGAAATTGTATAAGAGTACATGCTCCTATGTTGCCTAAATCAATTTTTCAATAGAAATCGTCCAAATTTATTAGCAATTGTTGCCCTCAAGACACAATTCAATTTAAGGTTGTTTAAGTTTAAGTTAATGACCAGTAAAGAGCATGCTAAAGCACGAATTAAAAAGGGGTTCCATTATTAATTTAGTCTGAAATTAATATCTATAATATAGCTATTACAAAAGAGAACTGCAGCTTATCGATATAACTAATCGGGTATATCATACTTGAACAATTATCAGTATTACCAATTTTAAGTGATTTTTTATTATAATTAGAGATCACATAGGTAGTAAAAGGTATGGGGTCAATTTGATGGAAACTTTAAGGAAACGTCAGGTCTTAGCGTCAACCTGATCACACCGTCAAAAAAATGGTTTTCGCTACAATCGCTTTTTTTGCTGGAGTATCGTCATCCATTCTCACGATAAGCTAGCGAAGCTACCGTATCTTAATTTTCTGAATGACGTGATTAGGCTTATATAGCACGTGATACATGCAGATGAGATGATCGTCACCAACTCATAAAGGACAAAAATCTGACAAAGCACTTTTCTCTCGAATATTCCCAGTACTGATTTATCATTCTGTGTTAGCGCTTCACCATACAGAAGCAAATGTATGATAAGTTTACGGAAAATATATGTTAAAGCACCTAATGCCAATCATAATGTTTCATCTGATCGCCAAACTGATTTTGTCAATGCTTATTGCAGTTTCATTCAACCACGATGATAAACAGAATTGCAGTTTACAGATTGATTTAGCTCTTCCAATTTTTTTAACAAATTCTCTGATTGGAATCATTAAAGACCCAGAGTATTGTGCTTGCATGTAGTACTAGCTTGTTTGGTCTCACCAAACCTATGTTATTATCAATAATATTTGGTTAAACTTACTTAAAACATTAACAATGACTTTGGAATATATTTTATATACATACTTTGTCAATAAAATGTTTTCAATTTTGAGCTTGTATATGAAATATTAAGCCTGCAACCGCTGCAAATGATATAATATAAATTTATTAGTCTAGAGAACCTATAAGTAGATACTAGATTTTAAACGAGTTGGATTATTGTGACAAAACAAGTGTGAATATACTTTATACAATATTATTATTAAAAGAAGGGATTGTGCACTGCGACCTAAAAGATCTATTGTGTCCCTTACTCGGGTTAGAGTGTTTCTCCAAGTCCGATTTCTTTATTGAAAGACATTATAGAGCCTACCTTTTCTAGTCTTGAATCTTTATGATCGATGAAATACCCTCCTAGATGTTTCTTCCGCTTGTGCATCAGTACCGGGCACTCCCTAAGCACATGGTATGCAGTTTATCTCTCTTCTATACAGTATCTGCAATCTGAGTTGGACTGAATTCCTAACTTCGATAGTACTTCGTACATATTATCGATTAAGTGAGAAATACTTAAGTGAGGAGATACTTCATACTGGTAAATACAAAATAACACTGCGATTAACCTATACAAATTAACGATTAAGTGAAAAATGATTTCAATTTTGGTCTAATGTACGAATTTTAGCTCTAAATAACTTTACTTTATAAGACCATCTACGAACTAACAAATTTTTTACAAGTTATCCGCTATCCGATATTAATTAATAGTACTCGATTTTTTAATAAAAATTTTATTTGGGGTTCCCGTGGGCGATGCAAAACTTAAAATGAAAATTTGCGGAAAAATATTTCAATAAAATTAAAAATTAAAAATGCAATTATTGTTATTACGACGACTTCAATCATTTTGCAATACAAAAATTTTATGCTTTACGAACTGCAATAGCAAAACTAAAGCAACACAATTCGATTGCAACTCGACTATAGAAATTCAGTTAAACAAAATATGTATATAAAGCAAATGTATGCGGCTTGAATTGGTACCATCACCATCCAAACTAAATTAACCATTACAATACCATTCCGTCTATTTTTATGTATATGAGTACACAAAACAAAATTCAAATAAATGACCTGCAGCGGTAATAATCGCAACAGCAAAATGCCAAAAGCATAACCAAATGTTGCACGTCGCATGCCTCGTATGCTGCAACAAACAATCGCAACAAACCGAGCTTATAAAACCAAAAAAACTAAAACTAAAAAAAAAAAATAACGAACCTAAAAAAAGCGCACATTTTCACAATTTCCCAGAAAATTAGGAAATGTACAAAAATTATATAAAAAATAAATTTAAAAAACAAAAATAAAGCAGAGCAGCGCATATTAAGTTTTTGTTTGCATACCCGAATATAAAATATATACGAAGTAAAACAATATAGTTTCTCTTATTGTTTTTTTTTTCTATTTTTGTATATTATATCTATTATTTATACTATTCTATTCTATTTAAATATTTACGAGTATTGTGCATTGCCAATTTGCATTTTTATGTAATTGAAATACTTCGTTTAGCGAACTCTTTTGCCAGCTTTGTTGCTTACTTGCCTGCCTGTGTGCTGTGTTTGTTGCCATAAGTGTTTGGCAACATGTTGACGAAGCATGCGGAGTTTGTCTGATGTTGCGCGATTCACATCAAGCGATATCTCACTTCTTTAAAAGGGCAAAGAAGTAAATTTCTGATATTTATCTCAAGTTTAGTTTAGTTTAATGTGATTTTACCTTAGGATAAAGGTAAATGTACTATTTTAATAATTTATATTTATTTTTAACATTTTGTTGTTGAAATAATTGCAATCTACCTAAGGTGAGTGTGAAGCTAAACCGTCTGATTTCGGTTTGCCAAGTACTTGGATATCTACAAAATATAGCTTGAAATAAACATTTTTTTAACTATTGCATTTTAAATAAAAGTTCATACAGTTCATTAGGAACATTTTTTTATTGATTTATAAATAATGGCAAATATATATTTTTTATTACATTGAAATAGGTCCATGAAAGGTAAATCTATTTTCTTTAATTTACCTATTTTGATAAGTATTAATGTTTAAAGTACACATAAAATTTAAAATAAAATAAAAATAAAATAAAATAAAAATAAAATAAAATTAAATAACATAAAAATAAATTAAATAATAAGACTTAAAAAGACATTTTAAATATTAAAAAAAAACAATTAATATGGATACTTAAAAAGTTATGAATAGTAAAAGCATTGAATATTTCAATAGGTTGATGAGAAGTAGAGAGCAAGGGATGGGGCTTTGGAAAGCCTATGGAAAAGAGCTTGGAGAGGATTAGTAGAAGTTCTTTGACATGCAATATCAGGGAGGAGGTTGTGTGAGTGTGGGCACCAATAGTTTGAAACTTTTTAGCAAACCTTATAATTGAAAATAAAAATATAACAAAAAATTTTCTACCTTAATGCTATTATAGCAACAATTTGAGGAGAACAGCTAGTGACTCTAGTGTAGAAACATTGAAATGATTTAAATCTAAATCGTTTAGATGAATTATGTAGGCCTGGCTTACGACAATTGTACGTTTCCAAGAACGGCTGGGTCTTAAGCCTATCCACTTAAGCCTATTGTATAAATATAATACATATACAGTCAAACTTCCATAAACCTTTTATATAAATATAATATATATATAATTTTAAAGACTTCGAGTTAAAGAATTTTTTTATAATTGTATATAATTGGCTCTCTAAACCCTTTTGCACTCTATTTAGTTCGAATTATAAAAAATTCGAGTTATAGAGGTTCGAGTTATGAAAGTTTGAGTGTATATATAAAGGATATAAAGTTATACATTTTGATATTGCGTCCAAACACGACAATAAAAATTGAATAAATAACAATATATTATACTGAATACTTAGCTATAACCATTGTACTCCGTTTCAAACTCGAGTACTTACCCATTAATCTTTACGCTAAAATTAATTATTGATATGTATAGCATAGAATCTTTAAGCAGATGCATAATCATTTTCAATTTTTCTTTTATATATATGCTTCTGATATAAAAATATGTTATGATATAATAATATATACATTTATAATTCATATTAATTTAAAATATATTATTTTTCTAAAAAGTCGTTATAAATAAAATGAAATAGAACAACATTTTTATGACTACGAAGCCATAGGGCTACCTTCTGTACTTTATAACAATTGTTAACTTCTTTTAATTTTGACAATAAAACTGAAACTGAGATTTTCAAGTAGTGCATTCGAATTCTATTGAACTTTAACACTCCAATACCAGTATCAGCAACAACAACAATAAAAATAATAACTATAATAAAACAAGCGTTAACAACCGTAGAATTTGAAGTTTTTAAAATAAAAGCACCACTTAACGTTTCATATTGATAATCAAAGACGAAAATGCCCAGCAGAGATGCAACAACCCAAATTTCACACACAATGAAGAAAATCTGAGTCTGAATATTATGAAGAGAAGTCAGCCAACGGCAACTAAGTGAATCTTTGCTCATACTGTTTCCATATTAAGCAAATGCAATTGTAGTGCAATGAATGAGTATAGACCAGCTCGTCGTATCTACTAACGATAATTATGCACTCTGCATGATTTCTATTTAGAATTTCAATTCCTGTTGCCTGCATGGAAATTTATTTTATTTTAGTTTAATTTTTGTGTACACTCCTAACATAGCCATAGCCACAACACTCCCACCTAAGTCATAGCCATAGCCATAGCAATAGCCATAGCCATAAGTATAACCATTAACATAACCAATAACTAATATCGAATATTCCCATTTGTCTATTCATATAACAGCAGCAGCGGCACACCACGCACACATATTGCCGCTCCAGGCTCTGGCAAAATCGTTTACACCTTTGGAAATCCTACGTTGATCAACAACGCAAAATGGTCATCGTTGGAGCAAACCAAGATTGCCATTAAACAGTTGTTGCTGTATAATGGCGAACCACTAAGCGCTGTCAATGTGAAATACATGTTCGATAATCAACGTGAAAAGTGTGAGATTGCGGGGGATCGTGTCTTCAATATTGGCAAGAACTTATGTCGTAAAGTATTCGGACCAGATGCAGATGATTATGAATTAAGTCCAGTGGATGTTCACTCACAGGTAAGTTTTTAGATAATGAATTAAACAAAATTGCATAAAATTAAAATAAATAAGTTCAATAAAATATGAAGTTTGTTAATATAATATTTTTCAGATAAAAATAATAAAATAATTTTGTTAAATTTTTAAACTCTTACATATTATTTTATTTACTTTTAAATAAAAGTAAAAACAGTGTTAATATTTACAAAAATCTAACTAAAAAAATTGATCACAATTATTCAATTTATAAGCATAAAGCCACACATTATATTTTATTATTTATTATATACTATATAATCAATTTTAAAAATTTTAGAACACTGTTAAAACCATTGGCACTATATATTGCGATCACGATGGTCCGTTGGATGCTTCCTCGACTATGCTTGTTGGTTCTGATGAAATGTGTACTCGCACGGTACGACTAAACTTTAGCAAAATCAAATCCGTTGGTGTTTTTCCAGGACAAGTTGTTATGGTATCAGGTATGAACCCAAAAGGAGATACACTTACAGTAGAAAATATTATAGCTGAAAAACAACTGACACAACCAACACCCCCTAAAATTGATAGCCAACTGAGTGTTGTTATAGCTGCTGGTCCATACACATTCGATGACGATATACTATATGATCCGCTACATGATCTACTAAACTATTTAAAAGAAAATCTACCGGATGTGTTAGTACTTACTGGACCATTTTTTGATGTCGATCATCAAATAATACTTGAGAACATGGGCGAAACATTTGAAGTATTTTTTGAAAGAATGATAGCCGGCATTGTGGAAATTATTGGGTAAGTATATACACTATAAAAAAAATTAAAATTAAATGTAAAATAAAATGCTAACGACAGTTAGGTAGCCATGGAATTATAAATCCCTGGCTAAATCGAAGGAGTATGTTTATAAATATGCATATTTATTATTAAAGTATTATATAAAAAGATAATATTTATTAATTTACTACAATAATCTAAAGACCAATCTTCTCTCCGAACTAACTTTATGGTTGATGGAAGCGACAGTGGCTTAAGAAACCTTCCTGCTAGATTGAACTTATGATAAATATTGCCTATAATATACAAAATTTTAGAATTTATGTACAAAATTTTAGAATTTATGTACAAAATTTTAAAATTTATATACAAAATTTAAATTTAGTCAAAGGTAAATCTTTGTCTTAGTTCTACCTTTATGATAGTTATACTCACTACTTTAATAGAATTGATCTGCAAAATACTAGTATTTGCAGTTATTTATATGCGTTCATTATTTTTTTAAACCACTTATTTAATAGTCTTTATAAAGGGCTTATCAAGTACTTAGCGAGTACTACTTTCTTTTTTAGTCTTATAATTCCTTTAATTAAAAAGAACTTTCCTACATAGTTTACTTATATATCAAATATCTACTTTGAAAATATTAATTTTTTAAATAAATAATATTTAATTATAATATTTGTTTCTTAATAATATTTGTAACTTTCGTGTTTCAGTACATCAACTACTGTTCTAATGGTCAGTTCCCAATATGATGCTATGGCTGATCCTGTATATCCAACTCTACCGGTTTCATTGAAAAAAACATATCCAAATGTACACATGTTACCAGATCCTTCAATGATAGACTTAAATGGCATTATTATAGGCATGACATCAACAGATGTTGTTGATCATATTATCAGCACGGAGCTAGCAATGTAAGTTTTATCTTCAAATTATCAGTAATTAATAGATTATTATTATTTATCGATTTTATTCTATTAGCAATGCTGGGGATAAAATTAAGCGTGTTGTCAATCATCTATACAATCAAGGCTCTTTTTATCCGTTGAACCCTCCACCTGAAGATAAACTCTGTCTTGACAGTAACCTAACAAGCAAATTTGCTAATATTGAGCAAATACCCAATATTATTATACTGCCTAGTGATCAGAAATGTTTTATACGGGTAAGCATAACTAAAAAATAAATAATATCAAAAGATTGTGTGACAAAAAACTAATAGTTAAATTATTTATAAAGAAATAATAATAAATAAATTACACAGAAAAAAGTATAATAACAAAACTGTAAAGAAATGATAATAAATGAATTATAAAGAAATCTTAATTATAAATACATTAAGACCGAAAAGTTTTCGGAAATTCTCATTTAAAATTCGCGCGCTGTATATTTTCCGATATTTTAAGTTTATGTAGTTTGGCAGCACTGTCCTTAATTACTATGCCAAAAATGAGCGCGATCTGTCAGACAGTTCGTTTACGGCAGCTGTTGAAACCAGTTCACCTCAGTAGGGCGTTGCGAAAAAAACAATGGAAAAAAATATTGAACAAAGAGTTTGCATCAAATTTTGTGTTTCGAACGAAATTTCGTGTGCAGAATCGTTGCGAATGCTACAAAAGGCTTATGGGGAATCAGTTTTATCGAAAACTCAAGTTTATGAGTGGTACAAAGCCTTCCAGGACGGTCGTACGACCGTCGAAGACATTTCGCAACGCACTACTGAGGTGAACTGGTTTCAACAGCTGCCGTAAACGAACTGTCTGACAGATCGAGCTCATTTTTGGCATAGTAATTAAGGACAGTGCTGCCAAACTACATAAACTTAAAATATCGAAAAATATACAGCGCGCGAATTTTAAATGAGAATTTCCGAAAACTTTTCAGTCTTAATGTAAGTTATAAACAGATAATAATAAATGAATTATAAAGAAACAATAAGAAATAGGCTATAAAGAAATAATAATAAACTATGATGAATAAAAATAAATTAATCATAGATAAATAATAATAAATAAATCAATAATAGATTATAATAAATAAATCATAGATAAATTAAATTTATAAATAAGTAATAATAAATTTAAAATAAATAATAACATATAATAATAAATTTAAATAAATTATAATAGATAATAATAAGTTTAAAATAAATAAATCAGAAATCAGATTAAATTAAAATTTAATTAAAAATTAAATATATATAAATTAAATTGTGATATAAAATTAAAATTAAATATATAAATAATAAATTAAATAAAAAATTAAAATATATAAAATTAATCCATTTTCCTGCATCTAATTTTAGGTTGTTAACGGCAGTTTGGCTATTAATCCGGGGCGTTTAGCAGACAATGCAGGTGGTACATTTGCACGTCTTATTATAGCTCCTTCGGCAAATAAGGATGAAAATAATTTTCTTAGCAACATAGGTTGTCAAGTACGCAAAGTTTAATTTTTTTTACACATTTGTATACTTTTATTTTATTTCATTTATACTATTTCATTATCAATTTTGTTTGTTAACAAATTAAAGCATTTTTAATAAAAATCACTAAAATATAAATTGTTTTTAACTTTTTTATAAACATTATTTGCTAAATTCACTTTCGATAAATATATTTTAAATGCAATCGATAACTTAGTTTCCAAAGGCACTTGGGAAGTATTTTTTATTCGACTCTACAATTTCTTCCAAAATATCATCGACATCAGTTTTAGGATAGCGATCTATCCATGATTGTATATAACCTTCATGATTGGCTTCATAAGTTGTGAGCTTAACCTTATCACTTTCGACGGAAGTATTTGCTTGTACCAAAATTATACGTGGTTTTTTATGTGCCAGGCATATGTCACGCCATTTAGCCCAAGGATGTGAACCACTTTCACTTACTTCAGAATAATACTCATACATTTTTGTTGCTTCCACAATATCAGCAGTGGATTTATATACTTGCAATTTCTTCAAAAATTCTTCAATTGCTTTTTTACCCACTGTATGCAATTTTGTACGATCAACTGTTAAACGTAGATTTTTTCCGTCTTCAGTTTCTTCAACAGTTACAAAACCTTCACCCGCTTCCAACAGGACTTTCATAATAACAAATCGTGCACGCGAATGTGCTTGCATCCATTGCTTAGATTGTGGATTGAACATTTCTAAGGCAACGCCCATGCCGTTCCAAATGAGACTTAACCAATTTACATAAACAATAGTGTCTTGTTCTGCAGGATCTTTAAAACCAAAAATTTCTAGTATATCTCTTTGTAATGAAAGATATAAACCGACGGCTTCGGCACGACATTCCTCATATGAAGAACTAATAACGCCAAATTTCGTATCATATGTTTCTCCAGGTAAGTACCAAGTTTTGATTGGTTCACCAGTGACTAAATTTTTAGTATTGTCTTTATCGAAATTAAATTTACCATTTTCATCAATACGGAAGAGTTTACCACTGCCATGACCTAACAATTCATGGAGTCCAACCTGCACCTGTAATGGGAAATTATAAATTTGTCAATATTTATTAATTCGGTTAGTTTAGCAATGATGTTTATCAAAGATATTTAAACATTTATTTTATTAAATAATATTATTTAAAAGCAACATTTTGTTTTAATTAACTGACCAATTTGCCGATTTTTATATAGTTTTGGGTCATAAAAATAAACAATATTTATAAATTACATAGAAAATATGATTTTAGTTAAGAATCAGTTAAGTATGTATTTAGAACGTGTGTGAGTTAGGGTAAGTTGCGTTCTAAATGAGGGAAATTCTAAGTTGTGCCGATAATGTAGCGATCTGTCGATACGTGTTGATAAATGGCTAAATGTGTGCAGTGCAAAAAATCCCAAAAAATCTCCCATTTGGTTTAGCATCAACTTAGCTTAACTCGCACTCGTCCTTAGATGACTTCACAAAGTTCACTTTGTGAGGAAATAAGGGAAATTTATGGAATTATATTTGGTATATGAATTTATTTGAATAGAGCTATGAAATATGAAAACCTCGCTGATATTACTAAAATTAGCTTCTAGATTAGAATAAAATTATATTTAATTGAAATCAACAGGGTTTCAAAGACACTCAGCTCTTCTTATGAAAACCAGAATATCAGCTTTTGAAGATATCCTTATATTAGAGTGAAAACTGCAATATCAAAATCTCGTACATTATCTGTACATTATTTGACGCGATTCCGAAATCCCAAATTTATATAAGTTAAGATGTAAAATTCATACATCCAAAATGGATAAGATATCAATTGGTAAATAATAAGAGATAATTTCAAAGTTATAAATATTTACCTCAAACGATTTAACTTTGTAGTCCTTCATCAACACTTGGTCTTCGTCTGATAAAAATGGTATAGGATCTTTACGATTGATGTTAGCTAATACATTTCCTAAGGAGACATTCTTGAATCCTTCATCTTGACGTATCTCATCATCTAAAATTTAATAATCTAAAATAATTCTGATATAATTGTAACAAGACTAAACATACAATTTGGAATATTTATGCCAGCTGGTACACCGCTTCCAGCAAATGTTAACACATCAAGCGATGTAAAATCAGGTTTCAAGTAAGCATCCTTTTCGTATGCTTCTGTCCATGGTAAATATTCTAATAGTTTTTCTGCACGTGCAACAAGTTCTGCAAATTTAGCAGAACATTCTTTATTCACCATAGCAACGAAACCTTCGAACTCAGCACGACCACCAGCTGGATCACGGTAAGTTTCAATAAAACCAATATAGGTTTCAATAACAGGACCTTTATCCTTAATCCACCATCTAAATTATAAATTAATTTTATAATATAAAAGTACATATTTGGGATATAGCGCAATTCACAAATTACCTTGATCCATCTTTATGTTCTGCTAGTGAACCATCTCGAAATGAATTTACATAATGATCTATCATTTTCATCTCATTATCATTGGCAGCATATTTTTTTGCATTTAATAGATTTTCATTCACACGTTTTAACAATTTACAGTAATCGCCACGCGTCACACGGAAATTATGACCCTTAAATGCTTCCAACGGTATTGTAATACCATCTTTATCAGAACCTTCCACTGAACCCAATTTTATATCATAAATAGTTTTGTCTCCTTCTTCAATTTTAAAAGTACGACACATATAAGGCTCAATACGTTTAGCAGTTAACCATTCATTTACAATATCTGCATCTTCCTTAGTGCAATTATCAGACCAATATGTAGTTATGCCATTAGGTGCAAAACCCAAAACTTCATCACGTGGTTTTAAAGCATAAATCAAAGATTTGACTTTATTTAGGATGATTGGCACATGCTTGTCCTTAGCATAAGCATTTGAGAGACGCACGATTGCCTCGAATTTATCTTCCTCTAAATTGGGAATAATTTTACTATCTCCCATACCCTTGTAGTTACCCGTATTAGCAAAAATACCACAGGCATAGACAAGAAAGGCCTATAATAAAAAAAGAAAAAATTTAATTACAATATAAGTAATAATATTAAGATCCAGTAAATAAAAATACAAAAAATTGAACTTCTCAGCTTAAGCAAAATAAATTTTGAAACTTAAAGCAATTGTATCAAACAAAGTTTCCAAGAATGATTGAGTCTATGTTCCGAAGCGAATTGTCAAGTTCAAAGACCAAGTGCCGTTGACCACAACCAAAAGGATCTATACAAGCAGATCCTTGCAGTTGACAACAACAACAAGAGCTTATTTGAGAAGTTCTCTCTAAGTTCCTGTTCTCAGATTTACTTACTGTAAATTGTTCCTCTGTAATTCCATTATCCAACGCTCTTTGTTTGAAATCTTTGATTGGTTCTGCCACGAACACACGATGTAATAGTGCAAATATCAGTGGACCTTCTGGGCTAGATTGTATTAAAGATATAAGTCCACCATCCCACGAAGCTTTACTGAAGTAATGAGCGTATAGTTTTTCTTTCTCCGTTAAATTCTCGAAAGCATTTTTGCATTCTAAGTCAGCAATGGGTTGCGTATTAGGCAAAACAAAATGCGATGTATGACCAGCAGACATTGTGCGTGAGAATGGCTTTAAAAAACTGAAATAAATAATTAAATCTATGTGAGATAAAACTATATGCATATAATATACCTTACATGAGGAGCAGCGAAATTTTGAAATAGTTTTGGTTTAATATTAAAATTATTTATATATCTATTTAGCGATCTATTATAGGCTAAAGCGAAAGAAGTAGGTGTCAACTTTGTAGAAAGATACTGTTTTTGAATTTTATAGATTGAAAGTAGCTGACGAAGGCCTTTAATTTGCAGACTAAACATAATTCGAAAGACGGTTTATATCTTAAAAAGCCAATGAATAGCTGAAAGTACATGACGGTCAGAGTTTTTGATTAGTAAGTATTTTGAAAACGCTTTAAATTTAATGTACTTACATTTATTTGAAAAGAGAAAAGGTCTAGCTTTTCTTTGGAAGAAAAAGCACGTCAAGTTAAAACGTTGCAATTGACTAAAGCGTCAATACATGAACTGAAATGTTAGAGAATTAAATTTCGAAATTGTGCCAAAATGTTTATAGATCAAATAGAAAACAAAATGTATTAAGTTTAAAAACATGCAATTTTTAATTTGATTTAAATCAGGATATGGCCTTACATTTTTAAAATTTTAAATTTAACATTCATCGAGAGTTGGTGATAAGAACAATAGCTTCCCTCTGTATTTACATAGCCAATTCGACTACGTGACGGCATGAACCTAACCTTACAATTTAAACACAGCTTTTTTAATTTTTTTAAAAACAAACATTTAAAGGTTTAACATAAAAAATATTGTTGTAGAAAGATTATATAGAATAATTTTTTTTCTTTTCAACAAAAAAGTTTTTATCAACATTTGGTTTGCAATTATTTATTATCTATAATAGGTTACTGCAATTTTAATTTATAAGATAACTGTGGCTTGTTTCACACACATGTATAAGTGCGGATTTATTCACATCTTAAGCCTTTATAAACCAGAACCTGATATATAATTATTTAAAACTTTTGAGTTAACACACACAAATATAAAAGAGGTTTTTCTCTAACTTTCCTAAATAAATGAGTGCCACGCAATGCATTTTACCGGCTTTTTGTTCTTATCGTTGTTTGGTTTTTAATGCTAGATTTTTTCTGTTTTTTTAGTAAAAAATTAATAATAAATAATGAAGACTCACCTTTTTTTAATAAATTGTTCCAAAATTAACAACAACTAAGCACATATGATAAATATGCAACTCCTTGAAGCTGACAAAAATGACTTGATTATTTTATAAATTTTGCAACATCAGCTGTTTGACAGCGACCAAACAGTGTTGGAAAAGTACAAAATAGATTACGTGGGCGCTAATGCACAACAATATCGTAAGACTTACGATACCTGACGCGTTTGGTAACTATCAGCACTCCATATCTATATGTGAATACTAATTATGACGTACTATATTTTCTTATTCTGCTATAAATTATAAACGATATAGTTCAGTGAGCATATCGTACTATCCAATTGTTATATCTGTTATCAATTTATATATATAAGAGAGTTTTAGTATAGAAATTTAAAAAAAATATAGCAAATATAAAAATAAACGAATGAATTTTTTAAGGGGTCATTATATGATTGATCTTTTGCAACACACAATTATGTCATATATTTGAATATGTCGCAACTGTAAGTAGAAGAAATGTAGCCACTCAAACAATGGTGATAGGATTATGGTACGGTTGTCTTGGGTTTACGATAATACTATGTAGTTCATGTTAGAAGTTTGAGTAAAAATCACTTAACATATTAACACAAGCCAAAAGAATTTTAATGTAAATTTTCCCTTTAAAAAGGGGAGAAGGTATGCTGATTTAGTACATTAAAAATGGTAAACATATACAGCTACATATCGTTGTATACGTGGCATTATTATTGCAACAATGTTCTGTTATATTTCTTAGCATTTTAACGTGGCCCATAAATCAATTCACCAACTCAATTCAAATGAAATGTCAGATATACCTACAATAGATTTCTTCGTGCTTGTAATATAGAATGTTAAATGGGTAATAAGTTTCATTGGCACCTTTTGCTAAATATTTCAAACATAATGTTATAATGATATATTTTGTTTGTACAAGAATAACTTATGTCGGCATTGAGATTGGATCACTACTTAGAAATCGGGTCTAAGTGCTTTTTAGTCTTGTGTACAATATATTTCAAACAATTTCATAGTACGTATCAATATATTTATTTTGATCATGAAAACTTAATAAAAATAAATTAGAATTTACATAATAACATCACACAACACAATCAGCCTGTAGACCAAAGTAGATCCCTTGGGATCACCGGTATAACCTAACCATAACATATTATGAAAATAACATTAATATAAACAATGATGTGTTATTTAAACCGTTTTATTGTGATATATACAATTTTATCATGTTTATTTTATTCTGAAACACGTAGATTTGTTCTATATAAATATCGAATTTAGAGATAACACTGAATTACTACTTTTTGAATTTTTAAACTTAAATACAACTTTGCCTATAAGCAACATTTTCATTGAACTGTCAAATTTGACAATGAAGCCGGTTTTGAAAAGGAAAATTAACGAACGCTTGTATTGTTTCTGAACGGGAAAAAATTCTAACGAGTTTGTGACAAATTCTCAGTACGCGTTGAAAATAAAAAGTTTAATGTTAAATATTCTAAAGTGAAAATATTTTATTACAAAATTTTCTTACCATAAGAAAGAGAATAAAATTTATAATAAAACTAAACAATACGAAATAAACAAAATGGAAAATTCTCCGCATAACGCTGATACAACAGATGGTACTATATACTTATCTTTCGATTCAACATTGAGTTCAAATGTTGCATTGATCAATGAAATAGATGTATCTGCAGCTGACGAAGATTTATTAGACGACAAATGCGATGACTCTAATTTCTCAAGTAAAACATTGGAGGCTGAAACTTCAGAGCGTGGGTCTATGCTGTGCCTGGATAAATCTGTTGCTACTATAAAGAAATTAAATGCTAATACCCTGAATTATGTTTCTCCGTTGCGTCCAGTTTCCAATAACATAATGAAGAAATTTCAGGCATTATCTTCTACACCAAGCAAGGATAAACTTACCATGGTAGGATTTGAACGCACTTCCGAGACTAGTGTTGGATCTGGACTTAAAATTGGATTTTTAGAAGCAGAGTGTGAAAAATCTAGTCCATGTATTCAGGCAAATTATATAGAAAATAAGGAAAATGTTTTAATACAGTATGACGAAATTGATGTATCCACATCTACAAGTGGAGCTTACTCTTTATCCTCGGACATTGAATGCACTGAGTTGAAGGAAAAGAAATTATCACCTTTGAAACACACCGAAAATACAACATCAACTAAAAAATTAACTTTGAAAGAAGTAGCATGCCAGAGAGGTAAAATAAGTTTTTGAAATAATATATTAAAACAAAAAACAAAATTTTTTAAAATGTATGTAACTTTAATTTTTTATTTTTATAGCTTTTGGTGTTACAATTTCTACTGAAGTAACAACTTGCCAACCGAAACCAAATAGCATGGTAGATAATGCTCCTATATCTGATGACGACTCTACTGAGCTGCCTGGTATAATGAAAAAAACTATGAACATTGACGACAGTGCAAAGGGTCCAATCCAAAGTGACAGTGTTGCTACTAAGATTAACAAACTTGAAAAACGGATGGCGTTCTCAAATTACCGCGGTCGAACCTCGTTATTGCCAATACCAGAGAATGAAAAACGTGCTTTTAATCTATCAAAGCGTATGTCGATTGTAGTGAAAACTACACTTAATTCACCAGCACGTAAAATGGCACGTAAAAGTATTATAAGTAACCAGACGCGTCGAACTATAAATGCACCAAGTAATGTTAATATCACCAATTCACGTAAAACAATGCTACCTCTATCAAAAGCAAAACCTGTACCAAATTTAGCATCCGTCCTGGCCGATAATGCAAAACAAAAAATTGTTACACGAAAGACTTTGTGTCCGCCTAAATCTGAAACGACTGATACATCGCAACTACAATCAACAAAAGTGAAGAATGGAAAAGATAATATAGTACCACAAACTAAGCCAAAACCAGTTAAACCAAACACCACTTATACGTGTAACATGTGTCCCTGTACATTTCGTATTAAAAGTTTATTAGATGCACATAAGCGGTCACATGAGGAAAGTCCTCATGTAGTAAGAAAGCAAGGTGGTGGCGGCGCAATTGGTGGTAAAGTTAATACATACCAAAACCAATGTAAATATTGTGATAAAAAATTCGTTTTGGAGCGCACACTTCACATACACCTAATGCAGAACTGTAACAAAATACCACCAAGTGAAAAACGCAAATTGGAGTTTACTGAAATGAATCACGTAGAAAAAGCTCAACTGCCTTCATTCTGTCATGGAAATGCTTCTTTTACACCACCAGCCATTTCACCAATCATTGTAAAAAATCCAGTGGATAAAGTTGTTAAGAAGCATAGTTCAAGCTCTAGTAGTGGCACACAAAGCTCAGCTGATTCTTTTTGTGATTTAACTGGTAAGTTGCAGAATGCTATATCCTATTTCGCTATTTAACGACTTTTTGTTTTGTTTTTCTTTAGAAACTAAGGGTACTACTAATTTGAAGATGCAACCTCCGCAAACAAAACTACGTAAGAATGCAGCACACGTTGGTATATATCGCACACCTAACAAATCCCTTCCATGTCATCTTTGCAAACAAACATTTTTAAACGTTTTGGACTATACTAATCATATTACAAAGATGCATCCAACTCGTGAGTTCAGCAATACACAGAAGTATAGCGATGACGCCTTTATGAATGCAGATAAACCATCCTAAATCAGCAGTAGCATTTTATTTTATTCATATTTATTCATATTTCAACTTATTTTTCTATAGTTTAAGTTTTTTTTTTCATATATTTATTTTGTATAACGTAATGGAATTTGAATTCCAATTAGCTTGAATGGAACTGTTAGATTCACAAGCTATTGAAAAGTTACAAGCTAAATTGATAAAATATTGCAAGCAGTATAAGTCTTTAGCGGGTAAATAATTTGGTAACGTTTTGTGTATTTTTTTTTTTGTTCTAATGTTATGTAGTCAAAAATATATAAATGATGCCAATTTATATAAATTTATTATATATATTTTATATACAGAGAATTTCTTTTCATTGGCAATTGATTTATACATTTTTGACTATATTCGTAACAAATTTTTAAAAAGTAATATACAAATTTTTGATGTTCATTGTGTTTAATGTAAAATATTATCCGGTGTCCATAAAATATTTATTTTTTGCAAGAGACAACTATAAATTAACAAAACAAATTGAATAAGACTAAAGTTTATTTAAATATTTGACTTTTCTTCTATATGTAACAACATATTGATAAATAAAAATTTACTATATATGTATAAACAATATATTAATATGTTGTAATTTTAAATGATAAGGCAAACAAATCAATACGTAATCTTATATGTGTAAATTTATTTGCAGCGTTTGTATCTACTTTATTAACGGCTTGAAAGGCACCCGAATCTGTATTTACTCTGATAGTCAAGCAGCAATCAAAGCTCTATCCTCATGCAGGTTTTTCTCAAAGTTTTCATTAGACTGCTGTGATATGGTGCAGCAGCTAGCAAGCAAAAACAAAGTGACGCTTTACTGGGTGCCTGGTCACACAGGAATAAAGGGTAATACGTCTGCCGACAGCCTTGCCAACGCATGATCTGCCACCCAAATCTGTGGACCGGAACCTTAAGGTGGTTTAAGTTGGTCTACAACTAGGTATCTAATAGATAAATGGATTTCAGCCGAGAGATGTCGCTACTGGCTCGATAGTCGAGGCAACCGTCAGGCTAAACAGCTGGTTCATCCATATAGTTATGGTAAGGTATCCCTCCTCAGCAGATCAGATTTGAGATTGCTGGTGGGATATTTAATGGGTCACCAAGGACTGCGTTATCACCTTAATAAAATAGGTCTGTCCGAAGAGATGGAGTGTCGACTCTGCTTGGAAGCAGACGAGACTTCTAGTCATATTCACTGTGACTGCCCAGCCTTGATCTGGGCAAGGAAGAGGTCGCTGGGAGGAGAGCTGCTCTCCCCTTCTGACATTAGGAGGTTCTCAGCGGACGACATTCTGGCCTTCATTCGGAAAGCAGAATGTCTTCTGTTCGGTTAGGGTCAGTTGCAGCACAAAAGATCATTCTGGTCGCAGTGCTCTACTCCGTTGGGAACTAGTACCCAGTTTACTGTTATCTTATGTTATCTTATGTACTTTATTAAAACATCATCAATATTAGAAATTCTCCTGATGAAGGCAAAAGCGAATTTGGTTTGATAAAAAAATCTCATATGTAATACGCACTTGAAGCAGAGTTAAATAAGTTGGGTTAAATAAACTAGCAGCACTATTGTTACATATGCCATTACAAAGTAAATGGTTGTGTTTTTAAAATCTGCTTATAAAAGATTACACCTAATATTTGGTCTGTTTCACGAGCTACTCGTAGTAACTCGCAGTGCGTTACACCAGCAAATTTTCGAGTAAGTAAGAGCATCTGAGAGAGCGTAACATCCCTGCCGAAATTTGAAAATGTTACACTGACTTTACTCGTATATTTTATTTCAAGTAAAATTTGTGTGATGTAATTAACTATTTTGGTTTGAATTTAAAATGTTATATTGATTTTACACAAAGCTGTTCCATTAAAATTTGTGTAAAGAGCGTAATTTGGCACTTTATTTGTGTTACGCTCTCAGTTTGTACTTTACTTGTGTTTTACTAGAGTTTTACTACGAGTAGCTCGTGTAATAGACCTATTGTAATATTGTACCGGACTAGTAATAATATATATAAAGTTGTTATAGTATTAGTAGTAGTTTTATAATTTTATTTTTAAATTTAATGTATTACAAAGTAACTTATACAATCGCATAAAGCTTATAGCTATGACAATTTTGTCGTGTACCAAAGTAGTAGTATAAATAAAATAATTATCTGAAATATTAATCAAGTTTTGTTGGATTCAAGAAATAGTTATTTTTTAAAAATAATTATTTCACGGGCTAATTGGTCAGTTATTAAATAATGATCTTTTTTTTTAAAAAAAATGTATTATTTAGTTTTATAAGATTATTGGACAATAAAAATATTGAAATATTGGACAATAAAAATCTTATAAAACTAAATAAATTTTTAAAAAAAAAAAAGATCTTTATTTAATAACTGACCAATTAGCCCTTGAAATAATTATTTTTAAAAAATAGTTATTATTATTTATTAAACTATTTTAAACCAAAAATGAAATTAAAGAAAAAATCCACAGTTGACATTTAATACTACTTGAACACTGCGCGCACCACATAATAAGAACAAATATTTTTAGTAAATAACGTTTTACAACACTTAAAACATAAAATTTTGCACAAAGGAAATGAAATATTTGTGACGAATACAATGCCAAAGTAGAACAACAAAAAATTCCAAAAACAACTGCTGGTTCAGTTTGTATTCATATCAATATTAACAAAAAAAAACATATCTATTTAATATTATATTTATATAATAAAAACTGTGCACGAATTTAATATTAAAATAAAACAAATTAGCTAAGATTCTAAAGTATATAACAAATACAAATAGCGTTTTTTGTAAACTGCTCGTTATTGCACTATTTTTCTTTGAAAAATTTAATTTTTGACGTTGACTGCCGCAATTGGAAGCCTCTTCAGTTTGTGTTTAGCATTTCGTCGTGGCGTTACAGAGGAAGAGCGGAATAGAAGAAAATCGATCATGGTATAAAACTACTTTAACTTGTGTACAATATAAACAATATAAGATAAATATAAATCAATTAACAAGTGTAAATAATCGATTCCAAAGGTTTTGGCAGGGAGGCAATTTTATGTGATTAAGTTTTATAAAAATTAATTAAGCAAAATTATAAAAATATCAAAATTTTTTAAAAATATATAGCTTTATTGCAAATTTTTATAATATTTAATATTATGCAACATTTTTCCGATACATACATAAAGCAAAGTAAATTGTTTATCAATAAAACGTCATCAGCCAAGGCAATCAAATTTCAGCCTTGAATTTCACGGGCGATCGTGTCTACATTTTTTGTTGTTATTATTTTGTTGCGTATGAAACCAATGATCTGTGGAAAATTTACTCTATAAAAAATATTATTTGCAAAATACTAAATGTGTAAAACATTGACTTTTTTACATTGTTATGGATTAATTTATGTATAAATATATATCGCGTTGATTGTGGGTGTGAAATGCTTGAAATTATGTGCGCGCTTATTTACTTGTGCAGAAGATTACTTGTGCTGTAGTAAAAAAAAACAAAAATAAATTTTTATTTTCATAGAAAATGTTTGATTAGATACACATTTTTAAAATATTAATTAATAAATCTAATAATATATATTGGTATTGAACTTGTTAAGTGCTGGTAGTTTGTTCAACAGATCTTATATATTTCCATTTTGGTCAGATTCTTTTACATCGAAGAAAAAGTTATCAACCTAAAAAAATATGTAAATGATTTGATTAAACCTATCAAAATTGATATGTATATACATATATACATATATTTCAAGATCATCAGAATAATCTAGTTTCTGGTTTATTACTACTTTTAACTATTCCAAGAGCTTTGGTTTGCTTACAACATCTGTTGTTGTTAAAGTCTAGATGGTCGACTTACATTCTTAGTCCCTGAGGGGAGGGCTACCGGTATTGATTATTGAAAAGAAAAACAACACCAGCAGCGGCAGCCGACGACTCTCCCATTAGGTAAAGGTAAACCAACCGGATAGTTTTATGTATCTGGCTACATCTTTTGCTTTGTATGAGAACCAATGTTTCTATGAAATGAAGAACGAAGTAGATTTTTATAATATAAAATTAGATTTTTATAATATAAAATTAGATTTTTATAAAATATATATAATATATTTTATAATATACCTTTCCAGCGTTTTAGATAAAGATAATATTTAAGTTTATTAAAAAATAACTTTAATCATCATTCTAAATGTTCTTTTATTTTTTACATAAAGAGTCGTGAACAATTTTTGGTTTATTAAAAATTCCCATTATTAATTATCATACTATTCACTACTGATGCCTCACATAGAGAATCGTTGAAAATCTTCAGTTTAGAAGAAAATCCCATTATACATCATTCTAGCATTCATTTTAATGTTTGCTTTAAAGAATCATTGAAAATCTTCAGTTTATTAAAAAAATCCCATTATTCATCCTTCTAACCATTGATTTTAGTTCTTGCCTTAAAGAATTGTTGGAAATGTTCAGTTTATTAAAAAATCCCATTATTCATCTTTCTAACCATTCGTTTCGATTCTTCACTGAAAGAATGGTTCAAAATTTCTCATTTCATTAAAATCTCCCATTATTCGTCATTCTAACCATTCATTTCGATTCTTCACTGAAAGAATTGTTGAAAATTTCTTATTTCATTGAAAAAAATTCCATTATTTAATATAATTCAAACTATTAATTGTAATTCTCCGCAAAGAATTCTAATATCTCTTGAAGTGCTTGTTTTGTTGAAGGAATGTGTTTTCTATAAATAAACTTTAAATATAAAATTATTATAAACATAAATATTTTTATTCTTAGATTTATAAAGAAGATAGCATTTATATTTGGTGTGACGAAGAAACAACAATAGAATATTGTTTCGACAAAGAACCAATTGTTATGCGATATATTAAAACTGAACCGTACTATGAGGTATTACTATATGTTGTACAAAAAGTCAGTTAGTGTCGGTTGTAGTGTATAGTCATGTTATTTGTTTTTATATGTGTTTATTATTTTTATAAGAATTCAAGAGAATTTTATATTTATAGGGTCTACCGCCGTTCAATGTATCCGGCAGTCCATTTAATGTGGTACCTATACACACTTATCCCGAGCTAATGCCGGCCACATGTAAGCTAATCAATGCAGAATGGCCACGTAGCGAAACTGCACGTATGCGCTCATTAGAAGCATCCTGTGATACACTGCCTTGCAGCCTAGTTCTAACTACAGATGGCATGAGTCGTGTTATTGCCCATTGCAAACTCAGTCCCATTTCATCAAAGAAGAAAGCATGCTTTGTTGAATCGGTAGTGGTTGATAAAACAGTTCGTGGTCAAGGCTTTGGCAAATTGATGATGAAATTTGCAGAGGACTATTGTCGCATTATATTAAACTTACAAACGATTTATCTATCGACAATTGATCAGGAGGGATTTTATGAACGCATTGGTTATGAATATTGTGCGCCAATATCTATGTACGGACCACGTCATTGTGAACTGCCTAGTCTAAATAATGCCAGAAAGAAGTATATGATGAAGGTTTTATAGAATTATGATGCTTATAAACACTACAGCTAGAAAAAATTTTACAAAAATTTTTAGTATATAAAGATTATAAAGATTAGTTCAACAAATGCAACTTAAGCAAATTTAAAGACTAAAAAATTTTCTGCAACATAATTGTGAATGCAGCTATTGTTATAAATAAAATTGTTAGTTTATATATTTGTAAAATGTGTGCACACATAATATGTATATTTTAATAAAAAATTTTAGATATTTTTTAATGTTGTAACACTAAAATAAATAATTAAAAATTAATATGTAAATTACTTAACTTAATTCCATATGATTTTTTATATATATAATTGAATTTTTAACTACTGTCGATTTTGCTTAATTTTAACTATATGCTTGTATTAATTAATTTATTTAAAAAACTATTTTAATTTAATTATAATTTAATATTTAAGAAAGTCTTAACAAAATTATAAATTTTGTTAACAGTTTTTAAGCATTCATAAGCACACTCCATTGACATTTTATGCTATTATTTATTGTTTTCAATTATTTATAATTTATTTATTAATTTAATTGTATTTATATTGTGCTATTTAAATATTTATAATTTCAACAGAACAAATAAATTCTATATATTTTTATATGTTAAGTTTTTCTTTTCTTTTATTTCTTATTGAATGTAATTCCACCAATCTCAATTAATCCGTGCTTACTAGGAAGACTAATAGTAACTTTGGCTCAACGATATTTAATCTAGGACAAGTAAACAAATTATGATTAAGTAAACAATTTAATTATAAATAGCAATAATCATCTTCCAATATGTAGTAAATATTAAAATATTAATTTTAGAAAATTATTATAAAACTATATCATGCTTTCTAGATGCTATTTTATGATAAATTATATTGATATTGTTGAAACTAAATGATTTATATAAGAAATAGTTGATAATATATAATAAAATTATTTAAAATATAATTTGTTTTCAATATTCACAAAGTGTTTGAAGTAGTTAGTTTTAATAATTATTATTTATTTATTTAATTTATCTTTATACAGCATATATTATATATTATACAACCAAGTAATATTGTTTATACCTAAGTGTATCCTCAGGATCGCCAGTATAACCTAACATACTGAATATTCTCAACAAGGTTTTAACGTTGTGTTTGCAATGAATTCTACCTTAAACAGCAATCAAAATGTGAAGATGTCCCATTTCAGGCTATTTATGGATATTCTTGATCTGCCTCATGATTTGCATTCTTAAAGATTCATTAAAAATTGGTTTCAGCTTCGCGGAGGTAATCCTGCGTCACTTTTAATGATTGTGCATCTGTTCGATGTTCAAGCTCTTGGTTTAGGAGAGTTTATTATGTAGATTTATTAGTTCAGTGTAATAATATAATTCCCCACACAACAGTAAATATATTAATATATCTTCTTTGTGAAATATTTAACTTCCACTTTGCCTTTTCTATCTGATTATCCGATCTGATAGAGATTGTAAAATGATGTATGTAAAATATTATCATATATCTTTAAATACGACTGAAATGTCTTAATTTATTCCAAGACTATATAACGTCAAATTTAAACTACTTGACTTTAGCATAGTTTAACTAGTTTCTATTCTAATTATCTGACTATTTTAGAAATACTTATAGAAAATACATCACCACATATATATGAAGTCTATAAAAACAGTTTATTAAAAGTTATATAAAAATAAATTCTTAATCAAATTCTTATTGGTAATTTGTTTATCTAAAGCTACTAAAATGAGCAATTTAACAAATCATTTTCCTCTTCCTAGTTCAGCATAAATTTATGCAAATTTATAGTTGACAAATTAGTACAAAATATTTGAACTGCACTAACAATAAATTATGAGAATCGAAAATAAACAAACATCAAAATATTTGACTCAGTCAAGTTCAAGTGCAAGGTAGGCAGGCGCTCCCATATGAAACACAGGCATCTCATAGATCCATTACGTACATCAATTTATCTTCTGCGCTCTTGCATCACCGGCGACAGATGTTGCAGTTTCTGCCAAGAAAGCAAAACAACAAAGGCGACAAAAAGAATTCTGAAATATTGAGAGAAAAATCTGTTTTCTTCAAATCTTTAGTTGTTGATACCCACGAGACAAAGGCGCGAAGCATATTTCTAAAATATATATACATTGTATGTTTGTATGTGTAATATATGGCCACATTGACATTTACATGTGTGACTATAGCAACGACTTTCTGCTGTGTTTAGTTGGTGGGGCCATCAACTCGTATAATCTATGTATATAATTCTGTTCACATATTTATTTAAATTAATTTATCATACATATATATATATATACACGACTACATGCAATATTCGACGTCTATGCGGTACTGATATGGGGAGCATAATATGTAGCTTAGCAAATAAAAAAAAATTTTAAATAGACTTTTTTAAAAATCCAGAGAATTTTAATCACTGGATTCTATAAATAGATTTATAATAAAATTAAATATGTTTAATTGAAAAATATAAATAATATGTATGAATGTATATGCGCGCAATAATCAAAAGAAAAATTATCCATAATAATAGCAGCTAATCGGGCAGTTACACAGTAAATTGTGGCATCTAGCCAAAGAGGGAATTACATTTTTCTCAAGGTGCTTTCCATAAATAAATTTTTAATATTTTTATCGCATTGACACAAATTGTCGCTGCTACGTAAGACCATGAACTCATTTATGGAGAGTCAGATCAAAGTGATGCTTAATGTAGTAAATTTATCCTAATAATAATTGCTCTCTTCTTCTGTTAGTCTTTTCTCTCAGTGGACCATAGAACTCTCATTATAGCACTGATATATTATAGGTAAGATAAATTTCTTGATCTATATTAAATATTTTTGTAATATCTAACATTCAAAATTTATTCCTAAAATGAAAACAAAAATCATAGAGAAACTGACATAAGTTTATAATAACTTAATATATAACTCACGAGTAATAACTAATAGATTTAAAAAAAATTTTTATAAATTAGTTATTTTCTTTACAAAAAAAACTAAGCGAAGTAATAAAAAATAAGTGCTTCTAATAGTCAATGGTGCTATGTTTAATTTGGTAGAGGTAAATGACGGATTTTAAGATGAAAAACTTCTTGGGACCATAATTGCGTTTGAATGAATGGTACCAATATTCAATTCGTTTTTTTTACATCGAAATTTTAAGTGCTGCTAAATTATAAAATACTCAGAAAAAAAAACAATAATTAAATAAATTTTAGCTATTGAAAACGTAAATCACAATACTCGCCATCGCTTACTAACGGGTAAAAGGGAAAGATAGCAAACCACATCCAGGTTAAATTCTGGTTAAAGGTTCTCTAACTCTAGTCAAACTTATCTTCTCTTATTTTTCTTTACTCTATATATTTATTTAATAATAATATCTGGCAATATTAAGGTATTATGTAGTGTTTATTTATAGAATTAAATTTAAATACGATTTTTATATACATAAATATGTATATGTTTGTATGTTTGTAAAATAAATAGGGCTTCTATCTTTATTCACCAGTTTCATCTTATATATGTGATCACCGATCTTCTATTATGGAAAAAGATTTTTTTACTTCATCAAATATGTTACAATAATTTGATTAATAATTTTTATATTAATAAGCATATTAAATTGAAAATAATATTATATATTAAATAATAAATTATTTCCGGAAGAGAAAATGAAAACCTTGTTTTTCAATAGAGTATTACTAATACTCAAAAGGGAAGAAGAATAGTTCTCATACTAAATGTTGATCCTACCTAAGCACTATAATTTACTCAAAGAGTTCGATGTTCTATAAAATTTATAAAATATATTTTTATTTTTTAAAAGCAATTAAAAACAAGCTAATAAATTTTATATAACAAATTCTATAAATAATAAACTATTTTTTAATATAGAAATTTAAAGAAATCAAAGTCTATTAAACTGCAATGGTTCCCCACAAATAATAAGTAATCAATCTTAATTTGTCTCTCTTTAAGAGTGCTTTTGGCAACAAATTAAGTGTCCATTTTATGATATGTTATGTATATATATATATATATATATATATATATATATATATAGGTCCATATGTATATATATCTAAAGTATTTTAATTTATATTCGGTGCCTTAACCGGAAATTCTATTCAATTTGTAGTTGTCGTTTTGTTCAATTTATTTTTTAAACTTTGTAGCCAAAAGAAATTAATTATTTTAAAAAGATTTTCGTTGATAATTTGTGAAAATTTAAACAATTTTCTAAGCTTTTAAGCCAAGTGTTGAAAGATATTTCGATTTGTAGAGCGAAAATAATTATTTGCAAAAATTTGATTTGATTTTCTCTACATGATAAAAATCGATTTATAATTATTTTTGTAAAATGAAAAACACTTGTGTAAAAATAATAAGACAAAAATTTAGTTGTGGCTTTGCTGAAGCTTTAATACCCTATATAAAAAATTTTTATAACATATAAGATGGTTTTATAACATATATAAGACGGCTTTCAATCATTTATCGAAAGGTTTGGGTTATATATCTGTATGAATTTTAATATGTCCCTAGAATTTGAAGGTTGTGCAGGAACCTTAGACACCGTTTTAAAGTCCACAACAAACTTCACCAACTTAGAAAATTGTGAGCTTGAAAAGATCCATTACTAGTTGAGACAAGCAATTACCTTGATGCGGCCTTGATGCCGCTCAGCATCACGACAAAAGTGGAGTGGGGTAAATAGGATACTCCATATGGTGTTTGGTATTATTAAGGTCTATAATAACCAAAATTAATGAGTGCTTTGTAGCATCATAGAAATTCTGAGAAGGTAAAATAACAGGAAGTTTGTGGTTTTTACGTTGGTCTTCAAGCAAATATTGCTTTTGCGACAGTAAGAAATGGTGTCATGAGGTTTCACAGAGCTGAATGGCACTGTTTTCCTTTTGGCACACTGTGAGAGGAAGAGGAGTAGTGATAAAATCTCTCACCTTATTGTCAAGGCGCTTTTCCCATTTAAAGGGAAATGTAATCAAAATTAATTTTTTTTTTAAATTTGTTTTAAATTTAAGAAAAAGCTTGGATTAAGTGTTATGTGATTATTTTAAATTGTGATAATTTTAAAGGTTAGGTTATAACAAGATCCAAGGGTTTCATACAAAGCTCGAAGTGCTTAAAACTATTATGAATAATACCATAATAATAATAATTATTGACATAGCGTCTTATGGGTCCTCCAGAAAGTACGTCTCTAATAAATTTAATTAATGCAAAAGATAGTGGCAAAGTATATGTAGTTATTTTTTCACTGAATAGAATACTCAATCCATTAGCATGTACAGTGTATTATCAACGTACCGGCTAATATTTTTAAGGGGCATTTTGTTAAGACTGTTGTTTGTTATTTAAGAGATATTAAGTTACTTATGTATATCGGTAAACCTGTCTGTTTTACGTATAATCGTTTCATATAGAAAGATTTTTAGCAACCAAAGAAGAAAACTTTCTGTAACTTATTATTCGCAAAAGTATTATATTATTTTAGATTTAGTATTATATTATTTATTTTTCTCGAATAGTAGTGAACTACAACAAATTTTTTTATTATTTCAATTAATTCTGGTTTTGGCGCACCATACGGCTGTTTCGACTATTGTCAAATACCTATCATCAGTAGTCTTGGATATATCTCCTATATTTAATTATTAGTAAATAATTTTTTGAGACTGCAAGTACCAATAGTTGAACCCTTACCCTGCCAAATTTGAAGCTCAGAGTCAGTGTTCATTAGCCAAATGAATTAAAGCTGTACTTGACTTGTATTTTCGAACTTGGAGTTTGGCTAATTTGTTGTTTAAGTTCATTAACAAATTCATTTGCTATTTAAATATAAACCAGCTGTAGAATAATTGAATTAAATAATTATCGTTTTTTTTTAATTGTTGAATTTCAATACTTTTCTTTTGTAGACACAGTATTTAAAATTCGAGTTTGAAAGCTCTCTATTAAATACAATAGCTTCTATTAAGTACAATAGTCACTGTCGCCAAAACTGATGTTAAAATCAAATTAATTTGTATTATTTTAGATCTTAATCGAAAATCAATATTTTTTGCATGATCATGTTTAATTTAGCGACAACAGTTTTTCATTGATAAAGTTGGTTCAAAATATGGAGCCGTCATTAACTCCGAAATCAAGTTAATCTAATCTTAATTTTTTCCAATTCATGGTTTTGATAAACAAAAGCTGTTCATATATATTCTACTTAAGTTTCACTCACTGCTTATCTAAAAATATAAAAAGATTTAGATAACAACATTATCAATAATATATATTCTGTAAACATACCTCATAACTACCAAATGCCTTTCCATATTTGTTTTTATTATAAAAATTTGCCATATATGAGAGTTTCATGAAACTAAAAACATAGCTAATAATATACATATGAACACACAATCATAGTTTTATTTTATTTTATTTATATAAAATGCAATTTCATTTTCATTGTGTGAAAAATATACAATGACTCAGCAATTAAGGTAAACTATAAAATTATTAGGAATTTAAATTGATATCTTGCTTAAAATAGTTATGCAAAACAGACGTTTAAAGGTGATAATAATTAATTGGCTTACATATTCATATGTATTGAACTTAGTTACTAACTACACAAACAAGTGCAAATACTTGTTAATAAATCCCACACACACACATTCTAAATCACTTAGTGAATAAATTTAAGATTCTTAAATATTCATATTTAAATTTTTTGTGTGTGCGTTTTAGCAAAATTAAAATTTTAATAACAATATTAAACTATTATGCTTTATTCATTTTTTTAGCAATGGCACAAACTTTACCAATGTATTCTTCTTGCTCCAAACTATCGACAATAAATTTTCCCAAATCATATTTGGAAATCATGCGTCCGGCTGGTTCTTCGAATGTTATATTGTATTCACTTGATGGTTCATCTGCTATATGCGGTGGCATTACAGCAACATATTCCAATTCCGATGCTTTTGTTAGATCCAACATGCGTTGATGTTCCTCATTCAATTTATGAAAAACTGCTGGAACCTCGCTAATAGGACGTAAAAGGAATGTTGACATAACAATGGAAAAGCGACGTACATTGTTTGCTTTCATAGCTGCAATGATATTGGCTGTACCTTCAGACAGTTCCGTTGTGGCATCCAATTTATTGCGTGTACCAAGTATAACACAAACACCGTCTACACCATTGATTACACGTTTGCAATCGTCCAAATTGCATACATTACCCTGCACCAGCTCGACTTTGCCCTTAAAACGTTCTGGTACTGTCTTTTCAGTACGGTAAAGTAAACGCACACTTAAACCTTTCAATTTAATTATAGTAAATAATTTTCTAAATGATGAAATTTTCAAACAAAGTTATGAAATACCTTTCTGCAAGGCATGATCGACTACACATTGCCCAGTCATACCGGTGCCTCCAATAACTGCAATCTGTTTCATAATGCTTTTTTCTTAATTGGTTTCTCTGTGAACAATTGGAAGTATTAATTTATTAACACTTTTAAGTAAATACAAATTGTCGTATATATTTAAGTACCTGCGACAATAAAATACTTTAGTTTTAAATTTTAATAATCTGAAATTCAAAAACAGCCGGTTCCGAGCACTCAAACTTATCAATTGAGATAGACTTGCTAGTTTCTCGCATATAACAGCTGAAGCCAAAAAGTTTATTGCTGAAGCTTTTAAGAACTTTTCATACAGGGTTGCATTTGAGAACTTCGCAAAAATTTAGAAAATTATAACAGTTAACAGTGCTGATAATTATGATCAATATGATGTTTGTATGATGTTTGTGTAAAAGTGGATCCACATCAAAGCGAACGCTTGCAAACGAACGAAAATTGCAGGTACAATTACGATTCTTTTGTTCGTAAGCGTTCGCTTCGGTGTGGATGCACCTTGAGAAATATCATATATTGCTATATATTTATCGAGTAAAATACAATAAATATCTGATGCCTAAAAATAGTATCAGATATACCGAATATTTTTCACCGATTTCATAATTTAATACACATACTTGCCCTTATATATGTCACATATTACTGTCATAATTACGTTTATATATATGAGCTTTTCTAAATGAACTGAAACAATGGAGGGTTGGTTCTTATTTAGTAAAAGGCGATTGTTTACTAAATGCTTATGATTATTATTGTTTTATACAAATTTAGTTGAAGTTTTTAGTCCAGACACAATTTCGAAAATAATGCATAAATAGCACTGCGAAAAATTTAAAACAGTTAGGAGCTCATTAGAAGCTTAATGAAAAGTTATTTTTCATAGACACGGATATTGTGAAAACCAGAATATATCTTGCTCTAGATTTGATGCTTTTATAACAATACTGAAGATTGTAGAAAAGCTAAGTTTAGATTAGTAAACCATGTTTGCAAACTAATATCTGAAAGTAGGGTTTTTATGTGTATATCTATTTTTGAGTGTTTTTGTGGCTCTCTTAATGAAATAACTATAATTGGTACTGTAAAGTGAATTACATAGAACTTACCACACTTTGTGCGTGACAGCACTTTTAAAACTTGTTTTAAAACAGCACTTAAAAATTTAATGAGAGAATGCTGCGCAAATGGATCCAGGAATCAATGTAATCGATGTAATACATTTAGCTAAAAGTTGGTTAAAAATGATTAAAAACAAAGAGTTGACGATATGCAATACGAATATTATATCATGCACTTTCTTTCTAATAATTATACAATAACGTGAAGTTATTTTATGTTTACATCAAAAACGTTAAGTCTCAGTTAGACGGTAAGTAACGTAAGAATTTAATTCAAAGCGAAATACGCAGGTTTGGTTGGTTGTTCATTTCGGTTTGAATTAATTTCTTACGTTACCTACCGTCTAACTGAGCCTTTAGGCTCACTGATACTCCATTCAATATATTTTCTAAGAGTCCAAATTTCCCATAATTGAATTTTATTAAGATTTTCAATTAGAATTAATGGTAATAAGATGTTGCTTCGTAATTATTCACTATATTCCTCATACCTATAATATGATATTTTACAATTTTATAACAATTTTATAACAGTATAAACATGAACTCTACTTATGTTATCTATCGTTATAGGTCTAAAGGGCCCATTAGACAGCAACGTTCGTTGTCAACGCGCGCTTGCCATTACACAAACAATTTTTTAACAATTTTTAAAACACGCCCCAGATAAAACAACAAATATACTAAAAAATCGCTCTCACATGAGAATTTTTTTCTCCTACTTTTCTCCTACTTTGTGAAATGCGAAATTTGTTTGTGTAATAGTAACATTTGAAATTTTAAGAAATGTGTTGACGAAAATCAAAAAATTTTGATATTTCTTCAAACACGCTCGTGTTTTTGCATATACAGTCGGATTTGATCGGCATGCAAAATTTCATTTATTTTGAGAAATGGAAGCGTAAACATCGTTTAAATGCACGCATGATTTGTCGTTACCATGCGATGCTTTGCAAATATGAATGAATTGTATCTTTTATTTTAAATACTTGTATTTTCTACCTAGGTAAAATTTTTTAATTTTCAAAACATTTTATTAAAAGGAATTAAAATATTAATAACCTTGGGCTACAAAAAAATAACCAAACATTAAATTACAATAAAAATTTTGTTTTAAATATTAATTGCATTGTGCAAATTTGTTATTAAAATATACCAAAAAAAAAAATTAAATTATATAAAATATAATATATATAAAAATAAATATATAAATTGAAATCATAAAAATATATATAAATATATAAATTAAAATAAATTAAATGTAAAACATCATTTTTCTAAGGAAATTACGCATAGCAGCCGCTGTTCACACTTCAGCGATTGCTTTAATACTGATAAGTGAACAAATTTTGCATTGTTTGCTGGAGGCGTGTTTAAAAAATTGTTGGTAAATTTAATGTGTAATGGAGAGAGAAGACTTCGTGTGTTTGTCAACGCGCGTTGATGTCTAAAGGCCACTTAAGACAAGTCTTTCTGTTCTTGCAACAATTTATGCCGGTTATTAAGATTGACCATTGTACATGATGGAAAAATATGTCTCTGTTCTTTAGTCGTTAAAAACTGCATATCATCATTATAATTTTAGGTGATAAGTTATTTGAACAAATTACTAATAGAATAATAAATATATGAGAGGGGGTTTTTATAAACACTCCTTGAGAAAAAAAACTCAGAAAATTCTATTGCCTTTCGTAAATTTAAATACAAAAAAATAAATTTAAAATAATATGAATTATTTTTTCGTCTGCCTTTTCAATGTCTTTTTTTACTTGCCAATAAGTAAAATTATTGATAAGCGATATCATCGAAAATATTGAGATTAAAAAGTACTTATCTTTGAATACTACGAAATAGATTGCCTTTGACAAAGAAATTATTTTCTACTATTTTGAATTCTTCGTATTGATTTCATTTACTGGGTAGCTATTAAGTCCAATATAAATAAATGTATAGTTATGTACAATTTTTTATATACAATATCTATATACAATGATATGAACGTAAGTTGCATCTACCTAACATTTGCTCAATAATCTCATGCATTCGATTCATCAGGCTCATCTGTAGCATGTGGATCATTATTGAGGTTCTTATTTCGGCGTAGTGTAATGCCCATTTTAAGTTCAGATAGAAAATCTGTTACTGGTGGTTTTTTCTCAGTTGGCCTAGTAGCCGCTGCACTGACTGTAGCAGCCTTTTGATTTACTTTCTGCAGTGAAAGATTAGATAAGATTACAGAAGCTATATTAGAAATGTATAAAAACTCGTACTATACCTTAAGTGTTACGCCTTTACGAATGCTTTCCAAGAAAGCATCGCGTGAATCACCATCATTTACTGCCGTAGTCGTAGTACTCTTACTGGTAGCGGCTAAATTTGTTTGTGGTAATGATAACGCTGGAGGGGGTGGTGGTGGTGGCACACTAGCTGGCGGAGGTGGCGGTGGTGGTGCACCTGTACCATTAATTTGTTGCGGCTTTGGTGGTGGCGGTATTGGGGCAGCTGAATATCTTTTAATTGGATCAGATTGTTTTTGAATGGCTGCTATTGGTTTGTTAGAAGACACTGTGGATTTGTTCTGGACATTAACTGGCGGTGTGAACGTATTTGTTTTAATAGTATTACGCTCCTTTGGAGATGATTTGTTTAAAGTAACACCCAAACGTATACTTTCCAGTAATGCATCTCTTGAATGGTTGTCGGTATGATTTGGGTTGGCATTTGTTGCGGATGATATAAATGTATCGTCACTGAATTTTGTGGATAATGGTTTTGGTGGAGGAGGTGGCGGTGGTGGTTTGGATAATGTCTGTTGATGTCGTACTGTTGCATATATGGGATCAATGGTTGCTGGTGTGAATTTAATAGTTTCAATAACCTGTTGTTTTGGAGGCTCTTTTATCGTATGATATATTTCATTTGAATGTGGTGTAGCAGTGATACTAGAAGGTGGTGGTGGTGTTGCTGTTACAGTTTTATCCTTCTTAAACATTATTACATCTTCAGTTTCGGAATTATTTCCAAATATAGTATCCGGAGATGGGAATTCTGAAGGGTCCATGAATTTTGTAGCAATATGGTCAAAGTTGGAGTAATTACCCTGCATTACTGGTTCAGATAGCTTTGGAGCAGATATTGTTATCGTTTCCTCAACGTCAACAGCTTCTTCGATAAAGCTGGTCGTTGAAACTTCTGTCTGAGGTACTGGCTCAAATATATAATTGAGTTCTTTTTTATTTGGTGGCTGAATCATAAAAAAGTATCATAAATTATATTATTATTACTCTAAATCTACTTAAGTTAAAAATTGATGGGTAGATTTTCTCAGTATAGACCTATTAGCCCATTGTGTTCAATTGATTTATAAGTACACATTTTATAATATTATATACTTTTTAGAACAAACAATTTATGTAGACCCTTATAGAAATTTTACAATACTTACCATCCAAGTATATTTGGACTGCACAATATTTCTAATTATATCTGGTTTTCGCATACCCATCAGATCTTCCTCTGTTATGCCTCTTTCTATCATATATTTTTTGAGTACATTGTCGTTAGAAGTTTTTGATAAATCGAAAGCATTTCTAGTCATATCCCTTGTCATATCTCCACTGACATGCCTAAAATTTATAGGTGAACTAATTTCATACTTATTATTTCTAGAATTAGTAACAAATGTTGTTGGTGATGGAGGCGTGATTGGTGCTTTAGAAAAACGATTTGTTAGCACTGGATTTTCTGGAGATGGCGTTTGTGGTGTTGGTTTTCTTGAAAATCTATTTGGTAATATTGGACTTTCTTGTGCTGCACTCTCTAAACTATTCGATGACGATGAAGTGCTAATTGTAGCGTAATGTATTGTGGGTGTGCCCGGTGTATTGAATTTTTGTGACAAAGTTGGAGAAGGTGCTGTGATTTGACTTGGAGGAGGTGGTGGTGGAGCCGCAGGTGCATTTACTGCAAATGATGAGGTGTTCATTGTGGATGGCTGCAAGGACGAATAAACAAAACATTAATATTAAAATAGTTTTAATATCATTAAAACATTTTACTTACGACCCAATATCCAGGCATTTTATTGCTTTTAATGATGTCATAAATAAAAGCTCTTCGCTGTTCCGGTGTCAAATATTCAATCTGATCGGATAAGCCGGCTTTACGCAGATATAAACGTAATGTTTCATCATTATTAGTTCCATTTAGATCAAATGTCTTTCTAAAGTCTACTGAAAATCCCTCCATGTACTTAAAATTACTTGGTTCACTTATAAACTTATTTGCCATATTACGTCATGCCATATAAATATAAAAATGTTTGTAAGGGAGTTTTAAAATATTTATTGTAATTTCCACAAAAAAATATTTATAGTTCACTATAAGACAATATAATATATACAATAATTAATAATAATAAAAAAACAAACACTATGTTAGGTACGCATTTTTTAGATAAGATTTTGAAAATTTTATATTATCAGTCACTTTATTTAAGGCTACATGTCGAATGATTCATATGGTCAATTAAAACCGATTTCCTGATACAAATATATGCAAAATTTTTTGAGAATTTGAAATTTAAAACCAATCCTTTAGCATCCAGTCCTTTGATTTCATAACAAATATTGATTAATACAGATAATTGTTTTAAATAGTTTTATTTATTTATTTTATTTTATTTTTTTATTTATTTTATTTGTATATATTACTTTAGAATATATAGTTATAGAATATAAAGTTATACTATATCGTATAACATACACAAAAAATTTAAAATAATTATGCGTTTATAAGTTTTATACTTTAAAGTAATATTGCTAAGTACTCCTGCTAATTCTAATACTGCTAAAAACCTATTCTCTTTACGAAGACACTAACAATGTTTAGTCAAAGAATCCACGATTAGAGTTAGAGACAACCGTTTGGCACAAAACCACCTGCTCAACTAAAACATTACTGTTTGGAGTAACAATACAGCTGAATTAAAACAATAATCATTTTCTATATAAATTTGCTCATTTGTAATTTTTTTCTAAACAATATATTTTTCGCAAAGCCTTAAGAGTCTTATCAATAATTTATTTATAATGCCATGGCATAAGTGATAAGCATGCTTTATATTCTCACCTTATTTATCACAAATATTTTAATACAGGTGAGAAGTGTTACCCAATGTTACCAAAGACGACTGAAGAGTACGCTACACTTGCAAAGAGAGGTATATTCATAATAATAATAATAATATATTCTCCTTTTCGTATAATATTAATAATTATGATATATTTATAGGGGCCTAAAAAATGTATATTATATTTTATTATTATTGCTTGTTTTAAAATAAATTTATAATCCCTTCATAATTGAAAATCCCTTTAGTATATTGTCATATATTATAATATACTTAATATATTATAATCATAATTATACATAATATATCATAATCATAATTATACATAATTATATCATAATATGCGTGTGAACCACACCTAATTTTAATTATACTGTAAGATTTTCTTCTTAGTTTTTAAGACAATTACTATAATTTTAGACTTTAAGATTTTTGAGAAAGAAATAAAGAGATTGTTATAAATGTACTGCAGCGGAGTTCGTTTCATTTGTATCTGACTTAACTATATAAGCTATATAAACTATTATTAAGTAACAATATTTTTATATGATAGAATTTTTATATGTGATAGAGAGTATCCCCCTGACGTCTCCATTCCCATTACACTCCCTGATGACCTTGTTCAAGCCTTGCGCTTTAAACCCCTTCAGTATCTATCCCATTACTTTAATTAATGGAACCGCAATCCCCACGTCTATTGTTTCTATAGTATTTTACAAATGTTATTTTATTTAAGAAAATATGACCGATTTCATAGTCGTAACTTATGTTTTAATATTGAATCATATTATGCTGAAGTCTATTTTAATTTTAGTACGTTTTGCAGAAAAAATGACAGTAAGAGCCATGTTAGGGCCAGGTTATGCAGAGTGTCTCGAGCACGGCATGTTGTTGTTTTCAATGCAAAATTTAAATTTGAGAATGAGAGAAAAAACAATATGGCCGTTCAAACTCCGGCATGAGAGCCGGCGTATTTGTGCCCCGGCACTAAGCCAAAATAGTGTTGTTTAGTAATAAATTTCAGAATTTGCGACTTTTAGAAGCAAATTACTACAACTCTAATACGTTTTGGAGAAAAAATGGCAATAAGCAACACAACCTTTTTTTATAAATCGCTAATAAAATAATTATTACACTTTTCGATGGCAAATTAAAAGTGAGCATATCAAAATTTCCTTTTAAATTTAGGCACAACCAAAAAGTACCAAAACATTGTTAAAATACGAAATTGATATTACTGACGTAACAGTCTACAAACATGCATTTTCGGCATAGCCCGAAAGAGCCAATTTTTTCGTGTCCGAGACGCTCTCGAAAATACGAGACGCTACACGAAAATAATATTTTCTATAATAAATGATGTTTTGCTAGTGCAATAAAAATCCAACTTTTGACTTTTGATGCTTTTTTGATACATTTGCAATTTAACATTTGATTTAAATATCACATTAAATTAATTACATATTTATAAATAAGTATGTTGTTACACATATGTACTGTGATAAATACTAAGCTATTGTTAAATTATAAATCTAGTTATCTTTATTTTTGGCTAACACATAAATTGAATCATTTTAATTTTTGAATTTTGAAAATTAATTCTTTTTTCAATGCATAAATTAACAAATTTTTAAAATATATTTATTCTAAAGTGTAAAAAGTAGTCTTAAAAACTTTTAAATATCGTTAAAATAAGTTTTTTTCTGTCTGTTGTGCAAAATTTATTAAAATTAATAATAGTTTATCACTTAACCGTAGTATATACTACTTTTAGCACTTGGAAACCCTTTTCTTTTGAAATTGCGGTAACTTCAAACTTCAAACGTTAAACGTCAAATTATAATTTTTTAATTTTAACTGAGAGTCGTAGTGTTCGGTTCACATTGCGAACTTAGTTTTAAATTAAAACTGTGATATATTAAAAGTGAAGTCAATACAAATTAGAAATGTATAAGGTATCTATATTAAAGATTTAAAAAGTTTTACTATAATTTTACATTTAGAATAATACATTCCAGCCCTTTACGCATGCTTCAGTGTGCAAGCCAAATAATCCAAAAGGTGTAAAAAAGGAGATTATTTTTCCAGTGCGTTTATACAAAAATAAGAATGAAACTAATGGATATCATATTATGCAGTTTAATGATCGTTCAAAAACTGGATTCACTTCATGGAAAGATGTTACCTTGGAAGGTGATTTTAATATGGATACGGAATCCAGTACTCCTACAAAGGATTACGATCTGAAAGAATATGAAGAGCAGCGTCGCAAAAAATATGGTATGGTACCAAAAAATGATATTTCTAAAGCTGAAAAATGGAAAATTAACGTGAACAATAATGGATGTGAACATTATAAAGGTGAGATGACAGATCAAGACACGGAGAATTGCGTTTTTTTTGTTGCTGAAAGAAATGTTTGTAGTGGTGGTTTGGTGGTTCGTCAGATTACCAATTGGTATAACTTTGAAGAACATACTTCATATACAGGTCACAACGTAGAAAACGCTGCAATGCAATATAGAAACAGAAAGAGAGCTTTTAATTATTTTGCTTCAAAGTTACAGCATCAGGCAAAAGCAATCACAGAGAGAGAACGTGCTATTAAAAAAACCAAAGTTGGTGGTACGACCGAAAGCTATGATTTCGATGAGAAAACAGGTGTTAATGAAAAAGAAAATGATAGCGATAATGAAGGATGTTTTAAAAATATAAAAAAAGGATCTCAACCGTCAAATGATGCAGATAATATTGAGGATATTGCCAAAAGAAATGATTATTACGGGTCATCCAGTGAGGAAACTTCAGAATTCGAGGCTTTTTACTACGGCAAGACAATGTATAAAAAATTAAATTCTAAGCAAAAGAAACGTAAGTAGAAAAATTGAAATGAATATACAACTACAGTTTGTAATATTTTCTCACCATCTTTTTAATCGTATAAGTACTTAAACTAGGCGTAAACATGGGTAGGGGAGTGAATAGGGTTACACTTAAGGGAATAAGGGGAAGGGGAGAGGATGGATATAATTGAAATCAACCAGAATCCAGCCGTAGAAATCTAGCTATCTCAATGAGATGAGTTCAAAGGTCGTTTGGATTTTAATTAGTGTGTGCAGTGGGACAAGAGAACAGATGGGCGACATCGTGGGGGTAGAACTGCATTTTGGGCACACATTAGAAAATAATGCTTCATTTATTGTAATTGTATTTATTATATTTCTATTTTATGAGCATTAAAAAATAAATATATTTTTAAGAAAATGATGAAAATTTATAGAAACAAATAAACAATGAACAACAAAAAATACTTCTTAACAACAGGAAGAACAGATCTAGGCTCATTTTCTATATTACTACTCTTATTTTAATAGACATTAGTTTATCAAGTAATAAAACATTTTCAAGAACACATTACCAACTAAACAATTAAGGAATAATTGAAAATAATATATAATTTCATATATACATATTTTTGTAATTTTATATATTTATCAGGTAAACGTAAAGCTCCAAGCAAGGTCCAATCAACTCCAGTAGAAGACAATAATATTGATGAATTTTTTGAAGCAACAACTTCGTATAATACACCTTCAGACTCTGAATATGTACCTGAATGGGACTTCTGTGAGAAAGACGAGTAAGAATATTATATATAAGTATATAATTCGCAAGTATATAATTCTGCATCTACACTAGCACGATTTTGACAAGATTTTAGCACACGTTATCAAAGTTTTGTTTGAAGACAAAATTCGAAAATAAAATGTATTTAGATTCGAACATAAAAATCTCGCCAAAGTCTAACCAGTGTAGATGTTCGGTTACTGGATCAAACTGTTTGAATATTAATAGCTTGAGTATAGTTCGATTATACTGGGTTTTATATTTTATTTCATTTTCGTTTTAATATAAATACATTGCCGGTGTCCGAACAACGTTTGATGTTCGAATATCATGTAGCAGGCTATACACAGGCATTCGTTTCTAAATCTAATATTTTCTACGAATGTTGTGTGACAACATCATAGGAGATGGTAAAAAAAAACGGCGAAATGTGGAGTTTTAATTTATTAATTAAAGGTCTCTATAGCCGTCTGTAAACTAAATAGAAATACAATAATTCAGTTGTTCATTTATTATGTTTAGAGTATATATATATATTAAAAAATGTAATATTTTTTTAATTTTATAGAGAATACGCTGTTATTGAAGAAGCAGTGAAACGCTATTTAAAGCGAAAACCAATGACTTTAATGGATTTGCTTAAAAAGATTATAAGAAAGAAAGATAATACTATTCCTGGGGATAATGTAGTAGCACTTATAGCCGATATAATAAGGAAGTTGGGTCCACAGAAACGTAAAATTAATGGAAAAGTGTATTTAAGCTTGGATGAAGATGTTAATTTGACATTTTCATAATTGTGGAACTAATAAGTTTTAAACTTTAAAAGTAAAAGTAAAATTTAAGATGTAATAAGATATTTAATTGATTATAATTTTGAAACTATCTTACAGTTATTAATTTTATTGTATAAAATTAATTTTAATTCAATTCAATTAATTCAATTTTAATTTAATTCAATAAAAAAATTGAATGCATATAAATGATTTATTAATAATTATTTGATAACATTTATATTTTTTTATAAATTATTAAAAAGGTATATTTCATTTTTGAACAAATAAAATAATATTTTTAAGTTAAATCAATATAATATTCTCTTGATTAAAAATCTTTTTTGTTTAATTCTTGTCAAACGATAAAAAAGTTTTAATTATAAATATAAACATATAGTTAATTATAAATATTAAATATGTAAAAGT